ATTAGTATCTTAGTAGGTATCTGGTTTGCCACGTGTTCAGGATTCCTCGGAAAGTAAATACCGAGGTTTCTATTCCTTCGTTGGGCGATACTACTACACTTACCTCGCATAGTAATCCTGGTCGTTCTCATGGTGGAGCGTCCCATTCGAAGAATCATCCCATGAGTGAACATTGTCATCACCTCAGCCATACCATTGATCGTTTTGCATGGCAAGCCTCCTCGCACAGTTAATGTAGCTCTTAAACCTACTGATTCCACTACGTCCACTGATAAGCTCTCACTACTCTAGTTACTTATGATGAGGGATGGGAATAAATTGGGCCAAAACTTAAATATACAAGATAAACTTGTTTTATAAAATTAAAACCTAAATCTAGTCTATTATTTGTGATAGACTTTTTTTATAGATTGATATGACCTTTTTAAAAGTTTAATCTAACTTATTTAAAAATCTATTTTGTATTAATAATGTTATATAGTCTAATAAATTTAATCTTAAATAAATTAACAATTATATTTTTAAATATACATACGAGTATTTTTTAATTGCATGATAAAAAATAATTTACTCTATTTTATTATTATTAAAATTTAGATTTTAAAATAAAATAAAAAACTAACTTAAGATGGACAACTCATGATTTATAATTTCCATTTTCGATTTCTTGATTTCACACAAACAAGAAATGTAAAATGTTTAAGTGTAGTGGAAAAGTAAAAAATATTTATAATTTGATTTTTATATTATAAATTAATTTAATTATATTGTTAATAATGTAATATGTATATTATTTTTTAATTATATTATATAAATAAATAAGCTGATTTATAAGGTATAACAGATTTTTTTAAAAATTTAAGTTCAACCTTTTTAAATAAAATAAGTTTATTTAAAAAACCTAAATTTAATCTTTTTATTAAATATGTCAAGTCAAGCTAGACTTTAAAGAGACTTGAAGGTCCTTTTATGACTTGACCTATTCTCATTCCTACTTAAGAGAACTTTGTATGGTGGTTTGAGAATTGCCAAAGCCTAATGCAACTTCTTTGGTTGCACACCCAGGTAAATCTATTGCTTGTATCTCACGATCTCCTTCCATAAGTCCTTGGGTGCTTGACTTTGGTGCATCTAACCATATCTATGGTAATCGTTGTTCTCTTTTCCCTTCCCTTTCTATGTCTGGTTATTTACATGTTGTATTATTTTGTGTTGATGTGAAAGTTGACAAAAAATAGAGGAAGGTATATAAAGTTTTTTGAGAACTTGAATTTCATAAGTTTATTTCTTAGAGTTTTAGTGAGAGATTTTTGAAAAGATAAGTTTTGGAGCCAAAACATATTTTTTTTCTTCTTCTGTTGACTTTTGAGGAGCGTCCCAATCCTTCCCCTGAAGTAATGGTGTGCTAAATGAGTTGAGATTCAAAATTGAGAATCATAGGAAGAAGTTTTCGTACGAGAGTTTGAGATTTCTCGAATTTTCTTCCCTTATTCCTTGCTTTCAAGAGCATTTGAGGTAAGGGAAGCTTGTAATTTCTTTATATCTGTGTTGTAGAAGTTGAATTCAATGTTGTCTTACCCTTTTGTGGTAATTTGAATTGAATTGTGTTGAAATTGAAGTTGTGTTAGGTGTTTGTTGTGAAGGTGATGATTTCTTCATATTGCATGATGGATGCATGTGGATTTTCATTTGATTTCTGAGTTGTGTGAGGTGAATATATGTTGAATAGAAAGTTGCATGATGAGTTTGTGAGGAGTGATGGTTGGTTTTAAGAGAGATGTTGAATCTCCTAGGGTGAAAACCCTGTACTCGCCTAGGGAGATGTTGTGGCACCCAACGACATTCATGGACTGATGAACACCTACCTTGAATCACGATCTCACTTAGGGATAGAGATGTGTCACCTAGTTGAGTTGGTCTATTGTTATACTAAGTTATAGGTTGTACATGTGTTTACTAAACCATTGGAGGTAGATCAATTCAAGGAGTTAAGGGAGATGCTAGAAGTTGTGTCTTTGGAACATTTGAATTAAAGGGAAGTATTGAGTAGAGTAATTCAAATGTATGGTCTGTATGTATAGTCTACCTATATGGTCTGTAGATATAGTCTGAAAGTTTAGTTTGTACATATAGTTTGTAGGTATTATCTGTATACCTTAGTTTATTGTATTATATGTTTGTATCATTTGATGAGTTGACAATTAGAGTTAATGTATTTTATAAATACATGTTTGTATTACTGCTATATAAGGATGAGTAGTCATGTGTAATACACCAATGTAAGAATAAAGTTTTTTCTCTACTCAGTTTTCACTCTTTGTTATTTGTTCTTATTTCGTTGTGTAAGTGTGTGTCATCCCTAACAATCAGATCTTTGGGAGATATAGGAGGTTAATTGGAAAGTTGAATTAACTCGCTATCACTCATCCAAATATTGCATTTGCAATAAGTGTGGTGAGTCAATTCTTGAATTCTCCTAGCCAAGACCATTGGAATGCAATAATTCAAATATTGAAATACATCAAGAGTGTCCCAGGTAAAGGCCTCGTTTATGAAGACAAAGAGACATACACAAATAGTTGGCTATTCAAATGCTGACTGGGTTGGTTCAAGTGATAAGCAATCCACTTCTAGGTATAGTATAGTTGTTGATTGGAGGAAACTTGGTATCTTGGAAAAGTAAGAAGCAAAATGTTGTATCAAGATCAAGAGTTGAAGCATAATACAAAACTATGACTTTAGTTACTTGTGAACGCATGGCTGAAACAATTTCTTAAAGAACTCAAGTTTGAAGAGATAGCACAAATGAAGCTCATTTGTGATAATCAAGCAATTTTACATATCGCCACTAATCCAATTTTTCATGAAAGGACCAAACATATTGAAGTTAACTGCCATTTCATCAAAGAGAAGATCAAGTTAGGATATATGTAACAACTTGGATGCATACAACTTATATGTTCCAACTTGAGAGAGAGTGTTGAAAATCAAAATATAATATTTTGTTGTAATAGCATATCATAGGCTAAAATTCAGAATAATATTTTGTATTAATAACAATTTATAGGCAAGAGTAACAGATTTAGAGGAAACAAAATATCCTCTATTTATGTATAATTAATGTAATAAGTGTATATAACCTGCTGCATCCAATGTGTATCCAAACACAGTTTATCCCAAATATGTCTGTTTTTCCTCTTCAACAGTTATAACTGACTGCAAGTCCGTTATAACTAAACAACAAAAACAATAACATAAACCAAAAATACATACATGTAATTGAAAACAAAAGGAGAAATGATATTCTCTTATAGTCTGGTACCAAAAGAATATACGGGGTTTGATGGTGTGAAAATGAAAATACAGTAAGGAAAGAAAAGCGGAAAAACTATAGGCAGTTAGAGGGTGCCTATTGTCTCCCACAAGTTCCCACCAATCCCAGCCTACCCTTCCCATTCCCACTCCTACTCTTATACCCCATACAACTGAGTCACCCTTTTCCTGCCTAACCAACTTAGTAGTTAGTTACATGAAATGATCATATTCATTCTCTCTCACTTGGTTTTAATCCCCTGCATTGCCCTCATTTTTACTTTCTAACTACGCCTTAGTTATTTTTCGTTTTTGGCCTAATTGTCTCAGGGTTCTGGTTCCTATCACAATATGTTTATCATTGCTAGACCATAACATGATATATGTTATGTACAACTTATATGAGACAGACAAAATATACAATGCTGCAAAGTGAATCATTGTTTTGGTCCTTGAAAAATTAGGCATTGACCATTTTAGTCCCTAAAAGAAAACAGTTGCTCTTGAGGTTGTTCAGTCTTCAATCGATCGGTCATTTTAGTCCTTATATTAACTAATGTCATGTTACACTAACAACAATGTTGATATGGCATATTAAGTGCCACACAAGATGCACATGTGGCATCTTTTAGGTCCTTGAGAAATAATCATCTTCCTCCATACATCTTATGTGGTATGTGGTACATAATTTGCCATGTTCAACATTTCCATTGGTGTTAACTAGTTAATTCACGTCACTTAACATAAGGATTATTGAATATTCAAGAACCTCGAGCAATTTCTTTCTTTCAAGGACTAAAATGACCGACTCTCAATACTTATTACCATGGAGAACTCATAAAGGCTTTACCATGTTATCTTAAATTTGGATCCTCTAGCATGACGTAACAATTATGCTAAGAGAGAAACAAGATACAAAACAATGTAGTTAAATTTTCATCATAAAAATACACAACCTTTCCAACATGACTATCAAGTAACATGAGATATCATTTTATCTCACAAATATCATAAGCTCACAATTTCATTGTAAGAGATAGAGTTTATTATATGCATACTTGCATTCCATCAAGCAAATCTTGAAGTGATTCATTTAAAGCTGCAAAATCCACCGAATTTTTACCTATAAAGATGAAGAAATGGTCAACTTATGGAACAATTGATCACAACATAGAAAAAATAAGATCATAAAAAGTACAAAAAGAATATTTCTTGAGAGTGATACGTGTACTAGATTTACTGTCATCCTCATCAATGTCCAACATTCCCAAATCATCATCATTGTCCCCGTTATTGGATCCAGCTTTTTTACTGTCAATAACTGAAGGATCTTCAAAGCACAAGAAGTGAGCCAAAAAAGTGCTCTGAAACATGGGCCATGAATAGTTACATATTTGAAACATTAAATATTAACGAGTTTTGAGACTGAGAACATCAAGAACTTTCACCTCATCCACCAGAAGTGGGATAAAAATTGTAAGTATCTTTGCATATGCATCAGAAACTGTTGAAGTGTCAGCAGAATTTACATTTTGACCAGAACCCGTGAAGGCTTCAAACCAAACAGTTTGGGTTTTAGATGTTTTAGTACAAGAACGAAGTTCATTAGCAAACTCACGGGCCTGTGAAGGGATTCCTAAAACTTTAGACTCCGTATGAACACTATTATACCAATGTATAAGAAACCAGAATATATGAATTAAAACGCAAAGAATAATTATAAATATATTTGTCAATTATAGTAAATATCAAGTGAAGGACAAAAGAGTCATCATAAAGCACGAGCAACATCAATTTTGAGGATCTAAACCTATTTTGGCCCACTAGTTAATTAGCGACTTAACTTTGGTTTAGGTCTAAACCTGTTTTAGCCCATTAGTTTAAATAGGGTTTTTGAATAATTGTTGAGGGTCTAAACCTCATCCCGTATGATGGCTTAGGGTTTAGGATTGTTTTTCCTTCTCCAACATTAAACCCTAAATCCTAAACCTTCAATTTTTTTGCCTTCAAGGAGAATCAATAAAAGAGAATTTAGGTAAAGACATCAGGTCAATAGGAAGTCATTTTATCAAACCTCAATTCTAGAAGTTTTGCCATATTTAATTCCACCCAATTTAAGTTGCTTGTTTTTATTCTAAAATTCAATAATCAAATCCCTCATCATTCTCAAATCTTCTCTTCCTCAATTTATTTCTTCTAGTTTAATTTTCATTGAATAGTGATAATCACTAAGTTAAACACATAGTCCATGTAGATATGGTCTTGGATTTATTACTTGATGACTATTATACACTTACGGATTCCCACCAATACAATGCGTGAATAGGTTGAAATCTCATACCTCTTTGCGAAGAAGCAAGTTTAAAGAAGCGCAATAAGCTTTTCTCAATGGACCCAAGCAATTCTTATCAAGAATCTGCAAGTTTACAAGAAGATAATTAAGGGATAAAACAAAGAAAATGACTCAATAAATATATGTGCTCAAAACAAAACTTTAAGAAGAAACTGTAAATCATCCAAAATTAAACCTTTAAATGCTTCAAAAGGCGTGCATATGTCCTGCACTTGAACCTCAAGTCAGCATGATCTGGCCTCTTCAACTGTCCCCGCTGTTTAGAGTGAGCAAACAGAGTGTAAATGAAAGATTCTAAGACCTCAAAATTTTAAAATTCTTCAAGGAATTTATGCAGAAAAATACCTGAGAAAAGTAATTTTTATCATTTAACATGAAGTCCACAAAACTAGCAAAGTAACATCTCATGTATTCAGAAGCTTTCCCGACAAAAGTAGACTTTATTATTTGAAGTTCGCCACGCTTCTCTTTAACCTGTGGGAGTAGCAGAAACCACCATTAAAACAAATGACTTTTAGGTCCTATACATGTTTTCCATACTGGCCGCAGCCAAGAACATTTATTTGCTTAGTGATGCCCCAAATTAATACTATATAATATAAACAGCTTCCCAGACAAATCAAAACGGAAGCAACTAATGAATGCACATCATAATTGTCACCTTAAATATATTTTCTTTATTGAATATTAACAAAAACAAGCAGGCTTGTACCATGGAATGATGTTTCCTAAATTATCGATAATTTGCTTTAAAAGCTTGAAAAGTAAGGCAACGAACATACTCCTCTCATTTTTGCATACATAGGATCTATGTTAGGCACTTCAAGACCACGCATGGCAGTTGTCAACCACTCACATGCTTCTATATTTTGCATCATTAGTGCTTCGTCAAATGAATCTCCTGTCAAACATGCTGAGTACTACACACCCAATGAAACATCATTAAAATAAATACCATGCTAAAATTTTGAGAATTCACCACTTGAAGCCATACCCCAGAAGGGATACTCAATTGCTCAAGAAGCTTATCAAGCTCTTCAATAAGAGTTTTGTTATTTATTGATTGCATTTCCAACTTGTTATTGCGGGATTCAATCTGGATACCACAAAAGAATTGAGATAAAATAAGTTCATTTTTTTTCTTATAAAAGAAGAAAATATGTCAAAGTGGAGACGATAATAAACGATCAGGAGGCTAAGAGATCCTCCTTACAAACAAAGAAAACATCGATAAAGCATAACTACCCAGTCTCGGCATATTGTTAAGAGAAAACCCCGGAAAAGGCCACAAATTTTACACCAAATAGAAGTCAAATGCATAATCTTTTGTAGTGTTTTTGAAGAAAAAGAAAATAATATAAGATATTAATATGACATAATAAATGTAAAATTGTTTTAGTTATGTAAGAGAATATCATTTCTCTGTAATTAGTTTTCATATATTTTCGTCTGTATAAACTGTACTCAGCAGTATTTTCATTTGATTTCATTTCAGTTGTATATTCATTTCATTTGTATTTCTGTTCTCCTAGAGGTAGCTTCCTTTGCACAGATCCTACCGGTATAAATAGGACTTCACAATTTCTTAGTTAGATTTTCAATGTAACTATTCTTGAATCAATAATATCATATTCATTTTACCTCTCTCTGACTCTCAAATATGGTATCAAGAGCTCAAGAATCCAAGGCCTCTCAATTCCTTTCTTTCTCCGACGGCAAATTCTTCTGAACTACCACCATCCTTGCCGCAATCCACGATGGTTCCCCATCTGCTCCGCTCACGTTCTCACATTCGATCATAGAGAAACTTACAAAAGGCAACTTTCTACTCTAGCGTCAATAGATTGAACTGTAATCAAAAGCCACAAACTGCACTCGTATATTCTCAATCCTAGCATTCCACCAAGATTTATTTCCGAAGAAGATTGATCCAATGGATCTGTCAGTCCAGCGTACCAGTCTTGGGAGCAACAAGATCAGCTACTCCTTTTTTTGGCTTCAATCGACCTTGACAAGCAGTATTTTCACACAAATTATTGGTTGTGTTCACTCCTCGAAACTATGGGACAAACTTCATGAGCATTTAAATGCTCATATGCAGGCTCGTGCGAATCAATTGTGCATTGAGTTACGTCACACCACACTCAAAGGCAAGACTATGGTTGAATTTCTTGCGCTTGTGAAAGCCTTGTTGTGTCGCTCTCCTATATTGGAGGTTTGGTGTCATCGCGTGAACATCTTGATGTTCCCCCCCAAGGATTACCTCGTGATTGTGAGTCCATTTTACCTTGATCAACAACAAACTTGCATCTCTACTTCCTGAAGTTGGAGCTCTCTTGCTGGCTCATGAAGCTCATCTCAAGCAATACAACAAACACGTAGCGACTGACTCAATCTCTATCAATCTCACTCAGACTACAAATTCTAAGGTCCCTCGACAAGCTATGATGATTTCTGATTCCGCTCAATCACAACCCTCTCCCAATAATTCATATAACAATTACTTAGTCAATGACTATTCGACCAACTTTTGAGGTTCCAATCGCTTTCGTGGAACAGGCAGATTCGGTCATGGTCGAGGACATGGTGGACAAGCCTGACTGCAATGCCAAGTCTGTTCAAAGTATGGTCACTCTGCACTCACCTACTATCATCGATTTGATCTTACCTATACTAACAATTACAATCAACAGTCGAGTCGCTTCTCCCAAAATATACCATATCCCTATGTTCAACCTACTCATTCAATGATGCAACCAGGTTTGCAATCCTTCATACCACCATTGTACATCTCAAGCTTTAATTGTGAACACCGAATCAGAATTCAACATTCCCTCTCAATAATAGTTCTGTCAACATTCGGCAATATCAATCGTTTGAAGGTCTTGATCAGATACAAAGAGGCAATGGCCAAGGTTTGAGCATCAACACATTGGGTTCAATTGTTTTTACATCATCATTGTGTCCTAATACCTCTTTCATTCTCAAAATTTACTGCATGTTCCCCATATCTCTAAGAATTTACTTAGCGTAAGTAAATTTGCCAGGGACAATTCAATATACTTTGAGTTTCACCCTGATATTTGTCTTGTCAAGTGGCCACGTTGAAGCTGATGGCCTCTGAGTTTTCAAATTAACTCAAACAGTCTTTGCATTCTTCCTGGACTAGTGTTTCAACAATGAATACTATGAAATTGATGGCCACATTGTACTCAGATGTAAATGCATCAAAAAATTATGTTTCCATTTTGATTTGGTATAACAGATTAGGACATCCTAATGTACATGCTATAAAATTGGCTCTATCACAATGTAACATTTCTCTACCAAATAAAAATGTGTTTGATTTTTGCTCCGCTTGTTGTGCTAGAACGTCACATCGTTTACACTCAGATTTATTGACCACTACTTACAATGCTCCTTTAGAACTGGCATATAGTGATCTTTGGAGACTAGCTCCCATTATGTCCACTAACAATTTCTAATATTATTTTTCCTTTGTTGATGCTCACATGCAACTCACTTGGTTATATTTATTAAAATCAAAGGTGGAAACGTTTGATACATTCAAGACATTTAAAGCTATGGTAGAACTGCAGTTCGATCATCCTCTTAAAGCTTTACTGACTGACTAGGGAAGTGAATTTCGACCTCATGAAATACTTCACTGGTGTCCTTCATCGACTTATATGTGCACATACCCACCATCAGAATGGGGTCATACAAAGAAAGCATCGCCACATTGTGGAGCTAGGCCTCACATCACTAATCAAGCTTCCCTTCCAATGAAGTTCTAGGATCATGCGTTTGTTGCTGTGGTTTACCTTATCAACAGGTTACCTTCATCCTCAGTACAGGATGCCATCCCTTACAAGTTGTTGTTCAATCAATTGTCGAATTACAAATTTTTGAAGGTGTTTGGTTGTTCCTATTATCCACTACTTAGACCATAGAACATGCACAAACTGGATTTGTAGTTGTAGGAATGTCTATTTCTTAGATACTTCACTGCTCATTAAGGATACAAATGTCTCACCTTAGTTGGCACCTTGATCATCTCCAAGGATGTGATTTTCAATGAAACCAATTTTCCTTATACAAGACCTTTTCAATCAAAAGAAAGTTCTCTCCGTCCACATCTCTTCCTACATCTAATGTTTCCCTATCCACTCCATATCATGTTGTACCTATTACTTATCATCCACCCAACACAACAATACCTTTATCAAACACTTCATCATCAACCAATGCCCAGCTTTTATCACCAACCAGTCCAAACCTCACTAATCCTTCTTCCGCCAGCAATAGTTCAACATTTAACCCTCAAGCAACTTCTGCTCCAATCCAACCAGTCAATACTCATCCAATGCAAACTAGATCCAAGTTAGGTCTTGTAAGTGAATCATGTTCACCCAACATTACTTCTGACTCACGTTGAACACAAATCTGTTAGACAAGCACTTCAACATCACGACTGGCATGCCTGCTATGAAAGCTGAATATGATGCTCTCCGATGGAATAACACATGGTCTCTTGTACCAGAGACGAACTCCTATAGGTTGAAAATGGATCTTCAGAGTAAAAGAAAATGCAATGGCACCCTCAACAAGTATAGAGTGCATTTAGTTGCCAAAGGTTTCAGTCAACAGTATGGGTTTATTTCACCAAGACCTTTTCACCAGTCATAAAACCAGTAACGATAAGAATCATCCTCACTCTTGCTCTCACTCATGGTTGGTCCTCACAACAACTAGATATAAACAATGTTTTTCTTCATGGTTTACTAGAATAAGAGGTTTACATGGTCCAACCCCTAGATTCAGAGATTCTGATAAGAATCTGGTTTGTAAGTTAAATAAAGCCATTTATGGCTTAAAGCAGGCTCACCAGGCCTGGTTTGAGAAGTTATAAAACACTCTCACTCAACTTGGATTTATTCCCAGCAAATGTGATCCATCATTATTTGTATATTCAAGCAACTCACGAGTGGTGTACGTGTTAGTCTACATAGATGACATCATCATCACAAGAAATTCTTCCTCCTTCATCCAACAGCTCATTGCCTAGCTAAACCTTCAATTTGCTCTTACGGATCTTCATCAGCTAAACTATTTCCTTGGTATTGAAGTATGACACTAACAAGATGGATCCCTATTACTCACTCAAAACAAATATATTAGAGACTTACTAACCAAAACAAATATGTTGGACTCCAAATCAATTTCCACCCCATGGTAAGTAGCAGCAAACTCTCAAAGCAAGGTTCCGACTTGTTACAAGACCAAACGCTTTATAGATCGACAGCAAATGCTCTTCAATATACCACCATTACTAGACCTAAATTAAGTTATTCTATCAACAAGGTATGCCAGTTCATGTCCTGTCCTCTCAAAAGTCATTGGGTTGCTGTAAAAAGAATCCTTCGATATCTAAAAGGCGCTATTCACCATGGTCTTCATTTTCATCCTACATCCACAACTATGCATCTTAGTCTCCACGCCTTTTATGATGCATATTGGGCTGCCCAAACCCTGATGACTGTGACTCAACTTCAGGCGCTGTAGTTTTTCTTGGACCCAACATCATTTCGCTGTCTAGAAAACAAACTGTTGAGGCTCGCAGCACAATAGAAGCAGAGTATCACAGCCTAGCTCAAGTTACATCAGAAATTCTTTGGGTTCAAACCCTTCTTCGAGAACTTGCTCTACCCACCACCAAACCCATAGTCTACTGTGAAAATCAAAGCAGTGTGTCATTGTCTCACAATGCAGTTTTACACCTCAAAACTAAACATACGGAGATAGACCTATTTTTTGTTCGATAAAAAGTCATAGCTAAGCAACTTTCTATAGTTCATGTCCCAGCTCAGGATCAGTGGGTAGACATCCTCACCAAGCCTTTGTCATCCTCTCAGTTTTTTCAACTTAGGACAAGCTCAATGTTTCAAAGCTTCCTTTCTCTTCTCAGCCCCATTGAGCTTGAGGGGGTGTAAGAGAATATCATTTCCCTATTATTAGTTTTCATATATTTTCGTCTGTATAAACTTTATTCGGTTGTATTTTCATTTGCATTTCATTTCAATTGTATATTCATTTCATTTGTATTTTTGTTAGTTTGTTGTAACGGACTATAAGTCAATTACAATTATTCTCTTAGAGGTAGCTTCCTCTTCACGGATCCTACCAGTATAAATAGGACAATGTACATTTTCTTAGTTAGATTTTCAATATAACTATTCTTGAATCAATAATATCATATCCCTTTTATCTTTCTCTCTGACTCTTGAATAAGTTACAAAGCCATACCCAGAAAGGAAAAAACGAAATACAGATGTTGGACTATTAAAAAAATTACCAGAATAATGCATATACAGTGTTGTGCTTTAGCCAAGGAGGTACAAAATCAAATGAATGAACTAGGGTTCTAGTAAATACTGCTAGAAATACCGATGTAAATTGCAAACCAAATTATGCTCCCAACTTGAACTCTACGAGCACTTACTGATTCAATATCTTCCCTCATGTGTCGAAGTTTCACATTGAACATGCCTAACCACTCATCCATGTCTTCCAAACAATTTGTTGCTGATTCAAGCCCTTGCAACACCTTCAAGGCAAAGGTTATTAATATGAACACTTCATAAAAACATGTTTAAAATCATTTTCAATAACTGATGACAAGAAACACAAAGATTTGTAAAATAAAGTGACATTTTCTTACATCAAAACAACTCAGATTGAAGTGACAATAATGGGATAGAACTATAGCTTAAAATATGAACATGAGGTTTTGAAGATTTAAGAGGGCGATAAAATCAAGCAAATTGGTTTATCTGCTAAAAAAGCCACGAATGTACAAGACAACTAAAACAGTTAGGTAATACCAGCAAAAGAAAGGAAATCAACTCGAATAACAGTTACCTCATCTATCAAAGGTTCACTTTCTAAAATGGCATGCACATTTGCTGCTTCAAGAGCCTGGAGCTCTCTTTTTAACCTTTCAGAAAAAGCCTCTGCTTCACCAACACCCATGATATAACTGCACATTCAGAAACCACAAAGTGATGGACCAGAAATTTTGGATGGTGGGGACAATATGAGATCTCATACTTCAGATATCACATGAGAGAAAAAAGTACGATAAACATCAACTTTTTGGGGGCATTGTTAAAGATAACAAGGCTAAAAAAAGTAGGGGCACGTGCCCCCACATTGATACGAGTAGGTCTGTCCTTCTGCAACAGTTTAATTCTGCATATTGGTAATTGTAAAAGGAAATATCATTTAACGAAAGCATTTTTCAAAAAAGAATAACTGCATTGTCTTTGTATCCAACTAATACAAGTAAATAAATATTTTCATTTGAACTTTTTAACATGTAACAACCATGTTCGGTACTTGGTACCTTTCTGGGGTGGGGAGAAACATCACGAATATTGTCACAACATTTGGCTTATGAAACTAATACTGCATGGTTGTTGGCTTAGTTTTAGCAAAAATGTGCTTTTAGTGGGTTTTGGTCTTGAACCCCTGTAAAGCAGGTTAAGTGTGATAATAGAGCTCAGTTTTCCAACTAAGCCACACCTTGTAAGCTACTAATATAAGAATTCCTTGTATCAATGATAATCACAAAATATGGCCAGAAAGTTTGCAAGGGAAGAGAGAGACTATCTATGACATTGCAATAACCATATGCTTAATCTTAGTTATCACAAATATTTAACCTCAGAATACAATTTAAGACAGGAAATGATAGCACCTACGTTCCCAAAAGAGCCTCCATGTCCTCTTCCTCTGCCTGGGAAACAAGTTCCTTTTCAACATTGACTTTCAATTCTGTTTCAGTCACAGCAGATTCAACAGAAGCACCATCTTGTTGGTTACTTTGAGTGGAAACTGCAGGTTTATTTTCCTATTTCACAATGATGAAAATAAATAAAGAGAACCAACAGTATAATAATTAACAGCACAGTCACCGATTCCTAGTAATTATTTATTGAACTTCAACATCCTAAACTTGAAATCAAGGACTCCAAGATCACTAATGAAACCAATCACACTCTATCCATAGTGATAAATAAAGAGTAATTACTAGTTAAACATGTAAAGAAAATTATCTATTTAAAAATGATGATTGAAGCTTGATTGTAAAGCAACTTTAAAGTTAGGTGATTAGAAGGCCGTTACACACCTTAGCCCAAAGAGCCATCTCCACAACATCAACACCAACAACCTTAGGAAGGCGACCTAAGACATCTTTGCAGATATTTAAGATACAAAGCAGGAGGCGATTCCTAATAGAGAGGTAATAGCAGTGAGCCAAACTCCCCTCTCCTGACATACAACCATAAAGGATTAAACTCTACATGCTTAGATTATACATTTAATGGTATAACCTGTCATCAATATTGCGCATTGTCCACTGTGGAGGAGCCACAGTCTGGTTTCTAAGGTTATCAAACCCCTGTAAGATATATAATCATCAGAAAATAAAGGAGAGAAAGAGAGATACAGAAAGCCATTTAGAAACAAGCTGCATAACAGGAAATGGTTGCATCTTGAATCTTGATTTGCTTCTACTCCAAAAACTAGGAACATCGTCTTTACAACATGAAGATATCTATGACAGAAAGAAAGAATGGAACATTACCAGTGTAAATGTACATCCACTTGGGTCATTTGCTGCAACTTCCACTTTTGAGAGGTGCTTCAGCTTGTATAGCTTAGCAGGCTGCAGCTCAAGAAATTTTTTAGCCAATAGAAATATGCTAAAACCTCCAATAATGATTATAATTTAAGAGTAGCTAACTATAAATACGCTATATCTCAAAGGTTCTTATGCATTAGGGAAATGACATGAAATCATGTTTTACTACTAATATAATATAATATAATGATATTAATAGAAGTTGCTTGGAAGAGAAAACATACTATTAAAGATATAGAAGCCTTAACTAGGCTGAATGGTTCTTTGTACGATGTCAAGCTTCACCAAAGTTAGATGCTTTTTTTTTTTGAAAGAGACCAAAGTTAGATCCTAATCCTCCCTCTCCCCACAATTTTAATCCTTAAATTTCAACCTTGAATAGCAGTTGGCCTGCGTGAATCAGCTTTTGCTTGAGGATGCATATTAGTTTACCCTTGGGTTTTCTGATTATTTGACAAATAACGCAAGGGACATAGCTAATTCATGTAGCAAGGGTGAATGAAAACACACCAAGGATAAGTTTTATACAATATATAAAATAAAATAAAAAGAAAAGGCAAAGATGGCATGGCAGCATCAGTTCAGTTGAGTCATAAAACATGAAATTTTTACCAAAACAATATGCCAGCTACATGCAGGATTTTTTGGTTTTTCCTTTAGAGTTAGCAGTGGATGAGAGAAAAGGAGAGATGAGAAGGACATAACCTCAAGAACGCCTCCATTTGAATACTTTAAAACTCGAAGAAAAGCTTTTGTCCGCTGACCTTTCGCTTTTGCTGCACAAAATAGAATGTTGTCACCAACAGTGCTACAAATAAAGAATTTAACAATTAACCATGGCAGTATCGCGATGAAGTGACTACATAAAATCACCTACCCAGAACACAGAGAAGGGAGGAGGATAGTATTCTCCTTTTCTCCTACCATTACACCAACCAATTATGGATACACTATGTGCTAATGTCTCAAAAATGCTAAAACCTCCCATTTATACGATTATACGGGGGGAAAAACTTGAGAACTGCCCAATAAGATGGAAAAATATTACATAGTTCGGGACCGACAACCATGTGTTCCTGGTCCCCCAACCAATTTTCACGTGACAAACAATCAAAATTTTCGATTCATAAGAAAGAATTGCTAACATTTGATTATATGTTACATGGAGATCAATGGAAGCCATATAAGACACCCTCAAAACCAAATGAATGAACCAAGTCACTTGGACAGTAATTATAAAGTCTGTCTTTGGATACAGAGTTCACTTGAATCTCTCAAAATTGATTCCCGCAGTGTTGAAATAATGTTTGAATTGTGGAAATCATGTCTGGCAAGTAGATTACTCTAGTTATCAACTTTAGAATACTGTTTACTATGTCTGGAGACCAAAAAAATAAATAAATGAATGAATAGTATCAATGAGGCCCATAAGACAACCACCACTACATGCACTCGTTCACACACACCGAAGCCCGCAAGACAGAAACGAATGCATGATTGCTATATTTTAAATCATTCGAGTAGCAATGACTCGTTCCAATTTCACTCCTAGATGCATCTTGCTTGGCATTTGGCAACACATATCAAGATTCACATTGTTTTCAGGTGAGGTTCTAGAAGCGAAAATGGATAGAGAGAGAGTGGGAGAGAAATGGCGCGTACTGCAGAGAGCGAGAACCCTAGGCTTAGCCATTTGACGACCAAGCTTAGCAGATTTCCCCCAGGTGCCGTGAGTCTTGACTGTTCGAATGGAGAGAGAGACCTTATGCTTGCTGCCTTCGATTGCGGCCTCACAAGCTCGCCGTAGCTCGGCATCGTCAGCGCTAGATTTCGCCATTTTCTTGTTGTCTCTGATCTCGAACAATAGCGTATCAAAACTTTGTGAGAAGAGAAACTGTGCCTATTTATTTTTAGCAGCGAGTATAACAAAATGTAAATAACGGTTTTCGGTTGGACCTTTCTCTCTCGTGGCGTCCGTCGTGACTCGTGTCGCTTCACATTTTAACGCGACGAACGATTCGTTAAGAGCCTCCTTGGCGGTCCAATGCGTAAAAGCTATTTTGCACTGCACGTTCCAAATTTCCATGCATAGCTCAGCCGCGTCTCATATCATTGGATCACCTTTAATTTTTTATAGATAAATCATAAACTATTTTTTTTTATTTATAAATTTTCGCAAACATTTACACAAATATTTATATTAGTCCAAACAAATAATATACAAGTTTTTCCAAAGTACCTCAAAACATTTTATTCAAAAAAATTTAAATTAAATAATTTTAAAAAAAAATGCCACCAGTGTAGCATCTTTGAAAATATCATTTATTTCGAATAACTACCAACAAGTAAGTCAATCTTGTGCCTAATCTCGACTTTGTTAAAAGGGTCTCCAAAAAAATATTTAAAATAATCTCATATTGATAAAATACTTGTAATTTGGCACTAAATTACTTAATTAGTATGTAAATAGGCTAGTTAGTGGCATTATGCTTCTTTACAATAAGAGAGGCATTAATTCAAATAGATCTATACAAAGTAAATTTGGATATATTAATTGTTCTTAGCCAAATACGATAAGAATATGTAGTTTGGAATCTTCCAATTTCCTTTTAAGTCTCCTTTTTCTTCTTATCTCCTTTAAACTCTTCATCATTCTCGATTAAAAGGAATACATGTAAAAAAAAGACTAACAATTAAATTGGTTTTTCACTTCATGCTCCTAAAATTTATATGTATCTTGCTTTCTATGTCCCTTAGGTAAGCTAATTGTTAAGGTACAAGGCAATGCTTATGGCAAGGGGGTTTACCCAGTTGGAAGGGATTAATTATAATGAAATATTTTCAGTTATTGTAAAACATTGTTCTATAAGAGTTTTGATCGCAATTGTGAATCAGTATAATCTAGAGTTGGAACAATTGGATGTCGAAACAACTTTTCCTTACAAGGACCTTAAGGAGACTATATATATGCAACAACCAGATGGATTTGCAAATGATAAGTCTAAGGCCTATCTCTTGAAAAAATCACTTTATGTCTTGAAATAGAGTTTGCATCTATGGTATAAAAAGTTTGATGATTTTCTATTAAGTTTGGGTTTTTTGAGGGGCAACTATGACAGTTGCATTCATATATTGAGAAAAATGGAGAAAGATGAGTTTTTTTTTCTTGTTGCTATATGTGAATGATATCCTTGTAACAACCTCTAGCAAGGATGAGATTGGTATGCTCAAAGGGAAATTAAATTTTGAGTTTGAGATGAAAGATCTTTGTACTACTAAGAGGATACTTGGTATGGATATTGCGAGAAACAAGTTAAAGGAAGAATTATTTTATCTCAACATGGGTACATACAAAATGTAGTGGAAAGGTTTAAGATGCATCAATCTAAACTGTTAGCACTAATTTGGGTCATCACACAAAGTTCTATATCATACAAGCTCCTAACACTAAAGAGGAAAGGAAGGAGATGTGTTTTATTTCATATGCAAGTGGAGTAGAGAGTATCATGTATGACATGTTCTGTAACAGACTTGATTTGACTTATGCTATTATCATTGTTAGTCAATTTATGACAAATTCGGGTTATGCCCACTAAGAGGCTTTGAAGTGGGTACTAAGGTATTTGAATGATTCTTAAAAATTTGTTTTAAGGTATAGGAAGACAATTCAAGACGAAGAAACTATTATGGGGTATGTTGATGCAGACTATGCAAAAAATGTGGATACTAGGAAATATTTATCTAGATACGTATTTACTTTGTTCGGAATTGTTGTTAGTTGAAAAGTAAATTTACAACCTGTGGCAGCTTTGCCTACAACACAAGTAGAACACATTGTTTTTACTAAAGGAGTGAAGGAAGTTTCATGGTTAAAAGGGAAGATTACTAAATTGGGTATATTACAAAATTGTGTAACAGTTCATTGTGATAGCCAAAGTTCTATACACCTTGCAAATTATCAAGTTTATCATGAGAGGACGAAACACATTGATATAAGGCTTCACTTTATCAAATATGTAGTTGAATCGGATGAAATTCAGATTGAGAATTTTACGTCTAAAAATAATCCTGCTAATGTATTTATGAATTCTCTTATGATATCCGAGTTCAAGCATTATTTGGACTTGATCAACTTCATTTGATGTTCGTTTTGAAATGAGAGAGTATTACTATTGTGAAAAAGTTTCTTTCTATAGATTTAGAGTTAAGGTGAAGAATTGTTGATTATGACTTAAAATTTAATGTATTATCTATATGCTCTGTGAAGTTTTTTTGTCTTGGATCCTTATATATATATGTGTGTGTGTGTATATATATATATATATATATATATATATATGTATATATCCTTTCTAAGAGTGTGACACATAGAGAGAATGTGTGAATAGTAAAGTGCTTAATGTGAGCACAAAGAGTTAAGAATAAGATATATAAAGAGGAACAAAAAACCAGTTAGAGAAATCAAGAGATTTTTTAAAAGAGCAATAAATTTCTCTGTTGTAAATATTTGATCTTGTTTTGAGATAGTGAAATCTAGAGCTGTCAAAACGGGCTACTCGGCCCGGCCCACCACGGGTTGGCCATTTGGTGGGCCAACCCAACCCGGCTCATTTATTAGTGAGCTCAAAAAAATCGAGTCCCGGCCTGGCCCACCACGGGTTGGTGGGTTAAACAGGTTGGCTCACCTTTAAAAAAAATAATTTTTTTCATTTTTTTTTAATATACAACTAAAGCCCAAAAATTTAAACTTATTTTAAAAATCTGAGATTCTTAATTAAGACATCCTTAAATGAATTATTCATCCAAACATTAAATGATAATTTTAAATACAATCAAATCAAATCTAAATAATCTCAAATAGATAAATATAATCCAAAATTATCTTAAACTTCAAATACAATCCAAAATCACAAAAATTACAAATCACAATCCAACATTAAATTATTATTGTCTCATGTTAGATTGCTCCATGACCCAACAATTATTGTATTTTTTCAAAAAATAAATTAATCACGGGTTGGTGGGCCAGCCCGGCTCACCACAGGTTCAACCCGGATGAGCCGGGTTGGTGGTGAGCCGGGTTCAAATTTGACCTGTATTAAAATTTTCAAATTTTTTTTAACCCAACCCAGCTCGAACCCGTGGTGAGCCAGGTTGGCTCGCCGGGCCAAGCCCATTTTGACAGCTCTAGTGAAATCTACTTTCTTCCATGGATGTAGGTCAAATTGACTGAACCACGTAAATTTATTGTGTTTTTTTCTTGCATTTACATTTTTACATTTTTATTGGATTTTTTTTGTTTCTATGTTTTTGGCTTGTTCTTGCATAAGGCTTATTATTGTTTGTTTTCTTTTTTATTTTAGAACCAACATATATCTTCTTCCGTTCTTAGTCAACTTTAACCAAAACATAAAACAACTTTGAACAATTAAGTTTATAAGAACTCTTTATATCTTTAGATTTTTAAAACAACATAGCAACTTCATAGCATAAAACAACATATATATCACACAACATGCAATATATACTCAACATATGACAAAATGATACATATTTAAGGTTGAATTAAATTGTTTACATTAAAATTATTTATAGTACTAATAATTTTAATGTTAAGTAGTAACATGATTTTTATTATATAATTTTCATGATTAAATAATATCATTAAATATTATACCATTATTATTTTCAATCATTTTAAACTAATTATTCATAAATATATTTCTCAAAAAATAATAATTAAATATAATAACTTTACAAATATATAATTAACTATAATATATTATTTTAATTAATAATTATACAAGGATAGAAATTAATAAATAAACTATTGTATCTATAACATTAATAAAAGAAATACTTTATTTTGGTGTACACAATGATTTTATTCTTAAATTTTTAATTAATAAAAAATGATATTAAAAATTAATTACCTTTATAAACACAAGACTTCATAATGATACCTTAAAGTTTGAAGACCGTGTACTATTATCAGTTAATCTAATAAATATTGATATATTTTAAACACTTCTATTAAATAAAATATAAAGATATTAATTGTTTTAACCTTACTAGTATTAGTATAACTTTTTTATAAGTAAAATAATAAATAAGAGATAACACAATTAGTATATTTTAATTAAAATGGTATATTAGTATAATTTATTTCTTGATTTAGAATTTAAAATAGATTTCACGAATAATAATACTTATAATAGTTTTATAAATATATAGTTAAATTTAAAAATAATAATATATCTATGTAAAATATATATATATATATATTGATAATGAAATATAGGATCCGAAATAACTCCATGGTACAAGTGGGCAATCACAGTAAAAAAAACTAGAGAATATTCGCCCCTGAATTCATCGTGCCGTTCACGTCCATTTTTCTTCAGCTTTTCATTTTTCATAAAAAACGACGTCGTCGTCCAACATCTCCGCCTTAATCCAGATTCAATTACCAAATTCTCTCGTTGTGTGTTTTGCTTGAAGAGAGTCGTTCACTACTCGCCCAAGTCCAACAAATTTCTGTCACTCCTTCATTACCCAGCCCCAAATTGCAGTAAGAAATTGCGTTTTGCTTCATTGATGTTCAAATTTGCACTGTTGTTTTTTCTATTTGTATTGAAATTCGCATAGAATTGGATCTGTGCATTACCTAAAGCAATTTTTGATGAGATGGGAAAATATCTATTTCTCCAACACTCGCTAATGTAAACTTTGCTAGGATGTTTAAATTTTGGAATCTTGCTTCAAGTATTTTGGGTTGCAAACAACACATATCTAGAATGAATGTTTAAATTGCTGTTAGGGGTTTGATGCGCAGCTACCATTTTCATTGAATCTTAGACAGCGGGATGCAAATTCAGAAAATTTCTTTTCCCTAGACAAATCAACCTCACATCGATTAGATAATTATATGTATGCTCATGAGCTTTACTGAACGCATTTGGCATTGCATCATGAGCGCTGTACCTTAAAGAACTATTTGTGCCTTGGCGACACACATTTCATATATATAATACATTTCAAAGACAAAAGGCTCATCATGTTTGGGCAATAGATATCCAATTCACCGATGTTGAAAAAAAATAGTTTATCAGCTTCTTTTAACAAAATCACCACAATACATGCTAATTTAGCAAACATTTGTCTTTGTATTGCCCCATATAGGCAGCTGGGAAATTATTTCGAACCAACTGTCAGTTCGATTATGTGAGATCAGTTAATCTTGGTTTTGGCAAGTATCAATTTGCTCTAAAGTTAGTTTATATTGTACCTTTTGGTAAAAATATTTATGATGATAATTTGCATAGTGCTTTGAAGAAATATTTCTTCTAGAGTTTTTGCTATTGTAACATGACCGGTAATTAATTATGAACGCACACATGTTTTATTGATTTTTGAAGGTTCCTTGTATATGATGTGGGATATGAAGAGATAGGCAAGTTAACCCAGTTTTCGACTGAATGATTTAAGAGATGCAAAAGCAGTGCCGATGTCTGAAATCTTGAAGATGTGTGTAGCTCTGACTGAAATCTTGAAGCTACCTCTGATGGACAAAAGCAATGGCTGCAGCTTCTCTAGTGTGTCTTCAATTGCTGTCTTTTCAAGTGCCATTTTTGTTGTAACCTTGATTTTGATTCGTCTCCTTTATGTCATATGCTGTAGCAGCAAGCCCTTGAGCAAAAGGGCTTCAAAACCTGTTAGTACCCTTATAATTTTAGGATCAGGTTTGAACCTACTTTTCCTTCTTTTCCATCCTTAAGAAAACATTTTTATGACATGGCAATTCCACAAATTTTAGTTTTATCTGCTGTAGGTGGTCATACTGCTGAGATGCTTAATCTATTGGCAGTGTTGCAAAAAGATAGGTTCAAACCAAGATTCTACATTGCCGCTGCTACTGATAATATGAGTCTTCAAAAAGCTCAGTTGTTGGAGGATTCCCTAATTGCTGAGGTTCTATTTTTGCTTTTTCTCTAGGGTTTCTACAATATAAGATTGTATAGGTTTTTATTTGTTGCACCTTTATTGCAATATATGGATCAAGATCAATTATTAATGATCTATGTCAATAGCTATAACTATAGATGCTCAACAGTTTATGTCTTATATTGTCATTTTGATAATTATAGGGAAATTAGAGAGGAGATACCATGGGACTCTTTTTGTTTGAGAAAGTGCATTGGCTGAAGTCCTGTACATTGGGATGTGACAACAATTATGATTACAAACGTGACTACTACTAGTCTACTAATGATTCAACCTATTGATGCTTGAAATAGTAGACTCAAAGCAATGCTGCCTGGTCCCTTGTAGATTTCTTGCAGGAGTGTATCTAGGAATCTAATGAATATTTGTTACAAGAAGTTTGTAGTCTTTAATTAGTTTCTATAACCTTGAAGGAAATTGTTTTCATTTTTCAAATAATAAATCCTCATTAGAGTCTGTTTTCTGAATGGTGTCATGTCGGTAGTTTCTTCACTGATTTCTGCCATTCTTTCTGGCTTGCTAATCAATAACTTTTTCCAGTTGTGTGGATTTGGGGACAGGAAATAGAGAATATATATCTATCAAACTTGACTTTTTCTGCAACATGTCAATTTTTATTAGAGCTTGATGGATTCTGAATTTTACTTCTGTTTGGTGGGGCTGGTTTACAGATTCTGATCAGAAATTAACTTTACTGCAGAGTGCAACAAGGGTCCCTTATACTGCACAGTTTATGAAGATATACCGGAGTAGAGAAGTTGGTCAATCATATATAACCTCAGTTTGGACTACTTTAGTTGCAACGGTGCATGCATTATGGCTAATGATTAAAATTAGACCTGAAGTGGTACCACATCTATCATCATTTGCTTCTATCAATGTTTACTCTGTTACAATTTGAGATAATTCTGTATTGCTATCACCCAGATACTTTGCAATGGACCTGGAACTTGCATTCCCCTCTGTGCAATTGCATTCATATTTAAGGTTCTTATTCCCTGCATTATTCTTCTATCATTTTCATAATTTCATTTATCCACTTTATTTGATAAAGTCTGATGCTACTGACATTGTTTAACTTCTGTGCAGGTACTGGGAATCAGATGGTCATCAATTTTCTACGTTGAGAGTATTGCAAGAGTGAGAAGGCTCTCCTTGAGTGGCCTGCTCCTGTACAAGTTGCGGATGGCTGATCAACTTTTTGTTCAGTGGCCACAGCTGCAACAGCAATATCCCCGAGCGACCTATGTTGGTCGACTCATGTAACCAATTGGTTCGCATAATATCATTTTAAGAGAAATTTTAATGCTGAAGTCAATCAGTCGATGATAATTCTAAAGCCTTACCTTAATCCTTAAGAACTATAAATGTAGATAATAGTTTTTTGACAAAAGAGTGAGAAGACACATTAACTTTTGAGAAGGATTAACATGGTTGATGTTTGTGATTCTTAGGAATTAAAATGAGGGCTTTGCATTTCGAGGGAGGACTAATGTATTCTCCGCTAATTTTCACAAGTACAAATATAGGGTTATATTCTTTATATTTTATTTTTCTGCCTCTTCGGTACTTATTGCGAACCAACAGTTTAAAAATTTCATGGGCTGAGATGTTGTTAACTATGAAGCAAAAGGCGTCAGCATATTAGAGTAACGTTATAGTTCGATGTTATGGTAAATAATTGACCACTTCGGCTGCATTCCGTGATTCAGGGTTGTACTGCTTGTAGTTAAGTTCTCTGCATTTGCCCTGTGTTTTTATCAGTTAAGCGATTGTTTTCCTTTGTTTTTCAAAAGGAATAGGGAGATAAAAAGATGAAGATGATTCGAAGACAGTTGGAATACATTCTAATTTGCGAAATGTGACATGTTTCTTGCTAACTACTAAGTACTAATTACTAAAATTTAAAATTCTTTATAGGTGTATCACTTGATTACTATGCTTTTCTTGCTAACTAGCACCTACATATCTTGAATTTGGTCTTCCGAATATTAGACTAATTTGATATTATTATTTATTCTTAGATAGATGAGTGATTTGTCTTTAAAAAAATCCAACATCCTTAAAATGGGTTGAATTTTGTCAATATTTTTAGGCTGCAATAATAGTCTTCTTTCATATTAGGCAGTTGCTTCAAATAAATAACAGGTTAACTAAGGATGCGTTTGGATTAGTGTCAATTACTCATGTTTCACATAAATTCATACGTTTGAATTTGTTTAAAAGTGTTTTTAAGAGTTTCACTATTATAAAATATTCTTCATTTTCAGTAGAAAAGTTTTTACAATCTCTTTTAGTTTATATCCAAACAGACTCAAAATCATGTGTAGGAGCTATTGGTATCAGCTTCACCTTTGAGGTACATCTTCTATGCTGGAACGTGTAACCAAACATGAGGTAAGTGGTCATCACCACTTCCATTTAAGGCACATGGCGATGCACCTTTTTATTAAGTGAAAAACGGAAACAAGCGCAATGTGTAAAACGGTTTATTTCCAGTCGTTTTAGCTTATTCATCTATATTAATATTGTTCTTAAGTAAAGGATCCAATTTAGTATGTCCTACCAGAATCAATGGAATAACTAAAATCATTAACTGGGACTAGGATGATAAAATGAGTTATGAAGTTTACTTAGCTGTAGTTTTACGCTTTACCGCTGTTACTATCTGATTTTGTTTCTCATGGGGTTACTCCTTACACTACCTCATCCCCTGATGTTGGAAATTTTACCAACACTTTCTTATATCTTTTGAGCAGGGATAAGTATTTAAATTTTTATTGTGGTCATGGATACAATTGTGTTACTGAAATTACAAAAATTGTGGACAAATGTGTCACAATCATGAGTTACATTTTTTAGTCACTCATCAATATCCTCTTGATCATTGGTTCAGAAACTAATCTTACATATTGTGATAGTTATTAGTCCGACAAATTTTCACACATGATGAGGGTTGAACATGGTCCATTTTAAAACTATGGTAGAAATCTTCTACAAGAGAAACAATTATGGAAACATGTGGCTAAACTGTGTTCTTGTTCATTAAAAACAATTGTGGCATGTTATTGTAATTAGAGCATTCACAATTCAAGTTCCTTAACTATGTAGCTTCTTATTTTACATTATTGAGTCTTCCATTGTCACATCACATCTAAACGATTTATTTAATTTTTACTTTAATGTAAGTTCTTATAAAAAATTGTTTAGCACATAAAATATTTTTCTTTTTCTTCAATATTTCATATTTTCTATCCTACATATACACACACAAATGATAAGTATCTCACAAGGAAGAATTATTTATGTAAAAAACTTTCTTTAATTTTAAGTAACTCAAAATCATATATGACATACAAAAATAATATTTTATTATTAAACAGCTCCCATTAGAGATTTCATTTTCTATTTATTAATCAATACTTAAAGACATTAATTAATAAATAACAAAATAACCTCTCTTTTTTTTTCTTTTTTTTATTTATTATATATGGCGATTAAAAAAATCAAAAATAGTAAGATTATATATATTAATTAAAAAAATCAAAATAGGAAAGATCGGAAGATTTATGTTCTATTT